CAAAAATGAGTCAACAAAATTATATTGATTTACTAACCGCAGCACCAATGGCGATAAACAACAACTCAAAGCGTCCATCTCTATCTGTTTTGATATGAGTTACCTACCCAGGATTTTTCAACTTTAAATTGTGACAATAAGCCGGCAGTTGGGCAAACGATGCTTCTGGCGACCCCCTCAACAATTCCAAGGCATAACATTTGGCTCTCCAAGCTTGAGAATATGAGATACTAATCTTGAACTGAGCATTCATGTCAGTCATAATTACATGTCACCGATATACCCTGCCATTCAAAAACATTAACTCAGCCAGAAAACCACCCAACACCTTTTTGTTTGCCTGTCTATGGTGAGGAAAAACTTGGGGTTCTTGAACATGTATTGTAACACCCCAACCCGTACCCGACCCGAATACGAGTCCGAGATGTCACATTAACTTTTAAAAACGATTTCCTTTCAAAATAATCAAGCATTTTAATTTGTATTAAGAAAATACGACCATATATGGTTCACTTGTGCTTGTTATAAAATTTTGAGTTCAAAAATACGTATTCGTGAATAGTAAAAATACGGTATGAATAGTGAACAGTGAATAGTGCGATGAACGGTGGGGGTATCGATTCCCTGTAGCAGGGAATCGATTCCCCTTTAAGATACTGGAAAATTTTGTTCAAACTCGCGGTTACTGTTCATGCTACAGTAACTGCTACAGTATTTTCCGAAATTTACATATTAACTTATAAAAATTAACCTTTCATCACTATAAAAATTCCCATCTATGTTTCCAAATTTATTTAACAAAATAAATTGAATATTATTAATTACATATACTCATTAAAACATTACAAAACTCATTCGTATGACTTTTCAAAACCGATTAAAACTTATCAGATTTGATCATTTATTTACATGCCAACCACTATCGTTATTACAAAATACACATTATACATTTCTTTTCTGATCTGATCTATGGAAAGGAGAAACTGACCTGTTTTGAGTAACTTTTATCAACCGTCATCTTCTCGTAACCTACGCGTGAAACAATCACACGCTAAGTCGTTGACTTAGTGAGGCATATAAAATATATAAGAAAACCATATAACATTTCATATAATAAAATGAATACATATTCATATACCAACATCATCATAATCTCTATTTATCATATGATTTTGTACTTATCATTTCTCATTTGATCATCACTATTGCATAAATAATTACCAATCTCATATAACAAATACATTTCACTTAGGAATGCACACAATATCACATATGAATCTTGTAAATACTTTCAATGTCTTTTATAGGCCCATGTACATTACTGAGAACTTAAGGTATGCGAGTACTGTGAGGTTGTGCACTATGCTGTCACCACAGCTCATATAAATTTGCACCGTAGTGCCACGTAGAATTTTGTCCCGAAGGACCGCGTAGAAATGCACCGAAGTGCCACGTAGAATTGCACCGTAGTGCCATATAATATGTCCCTAAGGACCTCATATAAACTCCTTAAGAATCATATATATATGCTAAGGATCAAACATGTGTCTCAAAAGACCTCATACATGCTCCAAAGAATACATATACATCCCGAAGGACCACGTAGAATTTGTCCCGAAGGACCGCGTAGACCCTCTACTCTTGGCATGCCAACTATACCTCTAGATCTCATGACACATATCATGGGCATTATTCTTTATATTATTTCATATATTCACATAAACACATAATTCACTTACACGTAGAACATTTCCATGTGATTCACATTCACATGTGCATATAATCACGTAGTTTACTTTCATGTAATACATGTCACTTTTCATATGAATTCATATTCATATATCACATAGCTTATACTTTGTTCTTATGTCTTCTCATAGACATATATTATTTCTCACGTAGTCACATAGATTCATATCATATTACCTATATTATTTCTCATGTATTCATGTAAACATGCATGTCTTATTTTGTTCACATATGTTCATATATACATCATATAATCCTTTCCTAAAGTTCACACTCTATTTTCCCATATGGCATATCACATAAATCACATAGCACACATAAGCACATATCATTTCATATAATCAAGTATACATACCTTTTATGTCATTCACATCATTATAATCAATAATCCATACACAACAACTATTGAAAATAGACTTATCACAAGTCCAATTCCTTATAATCCTATAAACTAAAATGCACTCATAAGAATCATACCAATCATATAACATTTTAGGAGTCACTTCTTACCATAGTAACTCCGTCACTGGCTCACCGCGAGCCAATGTTTTCCGATAGCATAAGTACAATTAAATTGCACTCACCTTAGCCTTGCTTGCTTTGATTCAATCCTAATCCTTTGATTATTCCAGAACTTGTTTAGGCTCAATATCTACATAAATATAACATTTCAAAATGACTATCAGAAACCTAAACCTTAAATTTGATGTTAATAACTTAAGCCGGTTTAATAAACTAAATTTCCATTTTTCATTTAGGGGGAATCGATTCCCCCCCCCAAGGGGTATCGGTTCCCTTTGCATAATCTGGAAATTTTCGTTCCAACCCAGAAAATTACTGTTCATTACACGAAAATTCTCTATTTTTGCTTCAATTTTTCATTTTTCATCCCCTTTCATATTCCTACCTCAAGTATACATACTTAAACTAATTTATATCTATTTATTTCATCTTAAACCTTAGAATTCTATTCTCCATATAGAATTCAATAATCATATCAAATTTTCCATGTTATCCAAACTTAATTGTAACACTTCTAACTTCTTATTCTCATAGATGGCAAGTCAAATTCAACCTCCAAAATCATTTAAACATTTCTATTCAAAATTTCACTTCAAAACCCATTTTCTTTAATCTGTCATAACTCCTTTATCTTTTGAATTTAAGATAACTTAAGCTTTCCTTAAGCTTAATTATCATTTAATGATCAAAACCTAACCTTTAATTCAACAAATAATCAACAAAATCGAAAACTCACCTTTGCCTAGTCTTCCATGGTTGGAGAAGAAGAAGAAATGAAGAAGAAGATAAAATGCATTCATCTCACACGTTTTTATCTCCTATTAAAGGGGATAAAAATATCTTTAATGTCAATTGACCATTTTGCCCTTTAATTCATTGGATAATTACTAAAAACTTTCAGGAAATATCCTCAAATAAATCATTGAACTATTCAAGTATTCTACTTTTATCATCAAATTCTGAAATTTTACAATTTGGTCATTAACACGTAGTTTGGAATGTTACATGTATGTTTATCAATAAAAGTCCTAACTTGAAACATTTCGCAATCTTTTATCCTCTTTGCAATCATACGCCACGTACAGTTTTTGTCAATCATACACCTTGTTTCGAAATGATCTTTGCTTGATTTGTTAACTTTTAGTTGATAGCCATCTTCCACACATTTCGTATACAAAGTTATCTTCAAGTCTTCCTTTGTATCAAAACAATCATCTTTCTTGATACGAATAATTTTTGTGTAACAATCAACTGCTATCTTTACCAACTCTTCTTCCGGTATCTGAAGTAATTCTAGCATATTCCAGTTATACTCCCGTGACATTTTCTTCAGGGACTTTTCTTTGGGGATTTTTTCTTCTTCTTTTTCTTCTTCAGTGTTATATGAATTATAGAATGGATGTTCAACATGTTCATTTACAGTCGTAACTTCCTCCTCATTATCATCAACAACATCTTCCTCGGCAACGGCTGTTTCATCATCAAAATTCGGGTATTGACCAATATCAAAATCATTACATGCATGGTCTGTTTCTTCTTCTGAAAAATCATCAAAATCCGAGTATTGACCAAGATCAAAGTCTGGGTATTGACCAAGATCAAATTTCGAATACTGACTAGTACTCACAATATTTTCTATTGGCTCATCATCGTCTAACTGGTCAATACGAAAACCGAAATTTGGTGCTGAAAGTTGATTGGGATTTGGATTAGGGAAAGGTTGTGGGTTTTGAGATTGTGTTTGGTATTGGAAATGTGGTGAAATAATATTTGTTTGGTGATGAAATTGTGGTGGAACCATTAAATTTTGAGCACCATAAACTGGGGTTGAAAAACTTAGTTGATTAATACCCGCTACTGACCCAACTTCACTACTTCTAGGTTCAACAACATACAATGTAACATCATCACTTGAAACACTAATGTAAGCAATGAATCGTTCAACATCTTCATTGTCGGTTAACAAATAAACTTTACCATTTCTCTAATAAGATATCTTAAATCCACTTAGGGGCTCTAAATTCAATTTATTTGCAACACGTAACATTAGAGTTTCATAAGTTAACTTTTTTAATGACAGTTTTAGTTGAAGATTCATGGGTAAAGGCATATATTGTAAAACACCATGAACATTCTCCCATGACCCTCCAAAACACAAATCTATCCAAACATGATCAACATTAGATGATTTCATTATTGTAAATTAATTTACTAAACAAACGAGCTGCGAAACTAAAACCTGTTGCCGGATGGGGAAGGATGTCGTTGGATATAGGAACGGATGTCGTCGGAGAGAGTGATAGATGGAGATGGAATGAGTTACGATTTAGGGATTTAGGTTATGAGTTGCTGCTGCTGCGTAGTTATATACCCAAAACATTTGTGTTGCGAAACTAAAACCTGTTGCGAATTCAGAAATCGAGTTGCGAATTTGAAATTCAGTATTGCGATAGTCAGAATCTCGTTGCGAATCTGGAAACTGATTTGCGATACCGGAGATCGCGTTGCAAATTATCGATCGCATTGCGATTTAGTTAGTCATTTTAGAAAATCCAAAAAAAAATTGGTTAAAATCGTATATTATAAGGCGTTTTTGAGCATTGAGGTTATTTTCTCAAATTAATGTGTCATGATTAAATTCATTTTAACATATTTTAATATCAATTTATTGATAATATTTTAATTTCCTTTTTTCTCTTTTTTTTCTTTAAAAAAATAAATAAAAAAACCTATTATAACGCTCTCTCTTTCCATTTAATTTCATCTCTTTCAAGACTTGTCGGACCACCGGTCATTCCCCTTCCTCAGATCGTTGAAATCGAGCAGAAATCGGACGACCCACATGCTCAAACCAGGTATTCCTACAGCTTTCGTTTATCAATTTCTAAACGTGCTTATAATTAACCCCCTCAAAAAAATCGTTCCTTTTTATTTCAATTCTGTTGAAATTCCTCCATGAGATTTTTTTTATCAACTAATTTATGGGTTTTGTTGGAATCCCTGAAAAATATATATTGTTTTGTTATAACCTGATGACATTGACTGGATGGATTGTCTTTGGTTACGAAAATGACCTTTTGATTTGAAAACAAGAGCTGAGTCGATCTTACTTTGGGTCAGTCATGAGGGTTAATGAGAATAGAACTTATAGAATCAAGTAACATATGAATCATGTTATGATTTTTTTCCAAGTTAGTTTTAATGGTTCGAAATGATTATTGTGGAACTGGAAATGTTGTATTTTCATCATTGTGGTGGCTAGTTGTACCATAAAGATCGGGAGTGAAATTATCGACATTTAGTAAATTGGAATTCGGGTTGTTAATTTATTGTAGTATGGAATTTGGTTTGTTAATTTTTACTTAAAATGAGTTTTTCCTTTTCTGTAACTAATCAGGTTGTTAATTTTGCTTTTATATTAGTTTGAAGGGATTTTCTGAAATCTGAGAAAAAAAGGGGAGTAAAGATGGTGAAAATGACAATGATTGCTCGTGTTACTGATGGTCTTCCTCTGGCAGAGGGATTAGATGATGGTCGGGATCTGGTAGATTCTGAAATGTACAAACAGCAAGTCAAGGCGTTGTTTAAGAATCTCTCCAAAGGCCATATTGAGGCTTCAAGGATGTCTGTTGAGACCGGACCTTATGTTTTCCAGTATCCTTGCCCTTGTGTCTATTTCTTGGATGCCTTATTTCTTGAATTATGAAATAAGTTTATACTTTCCTTATCAAAAATAGGTTTATACTTCATAGTTTCTCTTGAGGGAAAGAAATAAGTTTTGTTGTATTTTTTTCCAGTATTATTGGCAGTTGCATCTTAGTTATAATGTTACCTTGACCTAAGTTCATAGCTATATCGTTGAAGGACGTGTTTGTTACTTGACAATGTGTGACCGTTCTTACCCTAAGAAACTTGCCTTTCATTATCTGGAAGAACTCAAGAATGAATTTGAACGTGTTAATGGAGCTCACATTGAAACAGCTGCCAGGCCTTATGCATTTATTAAATTTGGTAGGTTTATTTTCTTTATTTTTTGGCCCTTTCTTCTTTTCGTATGCAATTATTATTTTTTCCACCTTTTTTGTGCTCCCTGTTTCCAGGCTTGATTGTATTTTTCTGTCTTCAAGATACTTTCATACAGAAGACAAAAAAAATGTACCAGGACACCCGTACTCAACGGAATATTACAAAGTTGAACGATGAACTATATGAAGTTCAACAAATCATGACTCGAAATGTACAAGAAGTTCTTGGTGTTGGTGAAAAGTTGGACCGTAAGATATACCCTTTTCCTTTCAGAATCACTTTTAAGACATTTTTATGACGTATGAATTGAAGACTTATTGAGCCTGCTTGAATCAATGCACCATGAGGGATGCTAAAATTAACAATTATAAGTTAGGAAAACTTTTCTTTTACGAATTTAATGCCTCAGTTTGTATTGCATGTACAGATGTACTGTTAAAGGTGTGAAAAAAATCTTTTAGGTGAGACAAGTCTGTTGCTTTATTCGATTCTTCCTCAATCTACACTTTAACTTTTATAAATTGCCCTCTAGCCTGTAACCCAGGCTGAAACTTGGTCGATAACTTGATGATTTTAGTACCTGATAATTATATGTTTTTATTTACAAGTAAACGCTATGTTTCTTGGATGTAGGTTATGTAACTTTTGTTCCTTTAATAGTCAGATTTAGCTGTTCCAAAACTTCGATTTGCATTAATCATACAAAAGCTTGCTTCAGCTATATTGGTCTTTTTCTCATTCGAGTGTCTGAGGAGTTTTGTATCAGTTCACATAGTGCCAATTAAAATTTAAAAGAACATGACTTCTAGATTTTTTTTGCTCCACTAGTAGTTGGGCATGCAGTTCAAGGCAAAGTCATTTATGGCTGCATCTTGTTACTGCTTAGTTTACTTTTAAGTATTGCCCTCAAATTGAATTCACCTAATTGTGTTTTCTTCTTTACTGTTGCTTTAATCTTTCTCCTTTTGATTGACTGCTAAATTATATTGCTTTTGACTAACCAAGTGCACATTTCTCTTTCTTTCTGCAACACAGAGGTCAGTCAAATGTCCAGTCGTTTGACATCGGAATCTCGCATATATGCTGATAAGGCAAGAGACTTAAATCGACAGGTTAGTTCCCTTTGATTAGTGAAGGATGAATAATCATTATTTGGGTCATTTCTCTCTCACACTATCTCTCCCCTTCTTTTAGGTTGAGGCATTTACCTGTTGGTTTTAGACAATTTTGTTGAAGATACTGAATGTGTGCTCCTAAGTCATTTTCGTGGTAGAAAATACAGGTGATATAATATAATCATGTTCAGTGTCAGAATAGCTCCTTGAACATGGATTATAGCCTCTCATGATAAGAAAAAAAGGAACATCAATGTCTGCATTTGGCAACTAACTAATGCATCAATTAGTTTAAGTTCTAGGCTTTGTTTAGGCACGAAGACAGGCATGGGTAGTTACGTAAGTATGTCTCTGCTAAAATTATTCTGAATTTTGATTGCTCCCTCCCTCGACACGCACAAAGGAGGGAAAAAATTAAGAATGGATTTAGCATATGAATGTCATGATTTATGTCGGATAGTTTTATTGAAGTTGCCATAAATCCCATGGGAAAAAGATACTTCAATTAACTTTGTCACCTAATTTCCTTCTACTCAACTTGATTTTCTTCTCTTTTAAATGAAAGTTTCTTTGGCAAGAGCTCAAGTCATTTTCCATGCATCCGTGGCTCGACTATTTTTGCAATTGTTCTTGAATCATTTAAAGATTATGACTGTTAGCTATGCTGAAGTTTGAAAGTTATTTGTTTGTTTCATCAATTTGCCTGTAGGCTTTAATCCGGAAGTGGGCTCCGGTTGCTATCGTTGTAGGAGTTGTCTTTCTCCTCTTTTGGGTGAAAACCAAGCTGTGGTAATTTCAACCGTGCTTCATAGTTATAGCGACTTATCATCGAGTTGTTCGGGTTTCTCTGCATTGGTGTGTGCAGCTTGTTGTCCACACCCAGAGACCAGACATTAGAATGAAAATTCTGGGTTTTTTTTGTTTCATCACACAGTTCGGCGAAGTTTAGGGACAAATTTGCAATGTGGAAGTGTGAAGGAGAGACCCTACCTTATGAGCAATATGTTCAAAGACGCAAATATTCTTTCTATATGTCAAAGCCAGAGTAGAAGCCTCTTTTGGTAATTAATTTTAGTAGCAGCACATTATTGCCATTTTCCTTTGATGGACTTCCGAGTGGCGTTTTACTCTTAAAATCGATGGCAATATGTCGATGATTAAGATATCAAATTAGTTTTTACTGCATGAAATATCCATGTTCAATGCAGAGTATATTCCATTCCTAAATATAAAATGAAATAAAAGATTTTCTTAATAATTGAAAAGGATACTAAATCTTATAACTATATAATTAAATGGAAACGGCGTCATTTTGTTTATTAGATTCATCTAAGTTTATCAAACTTAAATCGATGTATCTCATTTGATTTCATATCTTCTTTATGAATTAGACGAATTTTCTACGCTACAAAAATCAAAGGGTAAATTACGGAATTGGATCATTTGGCCATTATTTTTTTCAAAATCATACTTAGTATTGTGTTTTGATTTTTTTTGGGACACTTACCGTTAAAATTTTCGTTAATTATTTTTAATGATATTGTCAAACCAAATAAGCCTCTCAAATCAAAACAAGAGTTGAAACAAATACATTTTTTTGTCATAAAGAAACAATAAGTTATTGTTATTATATTACAAAGTACCATGAAAGCAAAGGAGAAGAACAAGATGAAATTGATATATTTTCAAATATGAAGGATTAAATTAATAAATATATAAAATTTAGAATATGAAAATATTTTTATATTAGATCATTTTTTTTGATTAATTAGATTACCTAATATTTAATGATCGGTGATGTGTTTGTAATAAATAATTAATTAAATGATTAAATGATAAGATAATTATTAGTCAGTATTAAAAGTGAGAGTGAGTGGAAGAGCTCGACTAATAATGGTGTGGCTTTCGCTGTAGTTGATAGATAAGAATACAAACAAACTTTATTGTAGAGTTTTGCCAAATTCAAAGAACTAGAAAGGTACAACACTGACAATCTTTCAATAGTTGCAGTTTCTACCTTCAGATAATATCTCAAGAAAAATAAAATCCTGGAGAAGCTTTCAGCTCCAATCGGTTATCCCTTCTTTTTTATTTTATCTTTTGAGCTTCAACCGTTCTTTCAGTAATTCTCTCGCTTGTTAGTATTAGTGAAACGGTTCGTGGTAATTAGAGATAGATAAACCATAAAGATCGAACACGATGTTGTTGTTCTATGAATCCAGGATAATGGAAGAAGAACCAGTTAATGTCAATGAATTCAGAGAATTAGCGAGGCAATCCCTTCCAAAAATGTACTACGATTTCTACTCTGGAGGAGCAGAGGATCAGTACACCTTAAAAGAGAATGAGGAAGCTTTTCACAGAATCATGTGATGTGTTTCAATCTATTAACGATCTATATAGCAAACTTGTTTCCAATCATTTTACTTATTGTTATGACATGTGAATTTGCAGTATTCAGCCTAGAACTCTTCGAGATGCAAGCGGCATCGATTTATCGACTACGGTGTTGGGTTATAACATCTCAATGCCAGTGATGATTGCCCCAACTTCTATGCAGAAGCTAGCAAACCCTGAAGGTCTGTCTAACTAAGTCCTCTTCAAGGATTTCTGATCTTAGCTTATTTCGGAACTTTTATAGACTTCGATTTTATTTTCATTCCAGGTGAGATTGCAACAGCAAGGGCGGCATCTGCATGTGGCACGATAATGGTAGTAATTATATATATATATGAACTTCGCTCAATTGTCATGGCCTGAAAAGGCTTCCTGAACTTTGGTGTTGAAATTCTTGTGTCTATTTCCAGGTTTTATCCACCTCATCTTCATGCTCATTGGAGGAAGTAGCTTCCTGCTGCAATGCTATTCGCTTCTTCCAACTATATGTATGTTCAGCTTTACCTCAGCTTTCTCAATACCAGCAATAGTTTCTCTTCTGTCCTTAGAAATACCATCAATACGAAATGAACACTGATTCGGTTTGCTCGGAATAGGTGTACAAGAGACGGGATATATCGGCTAAGCTGGTGCAGAGAGCTGAAAATAATGGATATAGGGCTATTGTAGTAACAGTTGATTCTCCAAGACTTGGTCGAAGGGAGGCAGACATTAAGAACAAGTGAAATATCAACTATAAGTTACTTTTTACTGTTTAGATTGATCTGCTTTATATCATTGAGATGAAACATTGTTGTGGTTTTATATCATACATGAAAGTTCATCTCTGACAAACGTCTGCAGACTCGATGTACCTCCACTGAAGAACCTGGAGGGACTATTGCCAAATAAATTCATTTCTGTAAATAGAGTAGTCCCCATCCAATTCATTAACTTAGATTCATCTGCTTTACCTTTTTATATTATTCTGCTAGATATAACCGAGATAAAATATTGTTTTGGTTTTACCAAGATAAATTCTTACTAATGACTCACACTACACGAAAAACTCGGTCTTAGGCATCTCACTCGAATACAGTGAACTGAAAGATTTAAAGAAAAAGAAGTGTGTTTCGAAGAAGTATTTTACTCTTTCTGAATTATCATTCATAATTTTTTTTTATACAGAAAATAGCCTGATTAAAAAGGCTGAATTTTACAACTGTAGAGTCCTATTAGGTTAGTGTTTACATAGGAGTTCAACTTATCTAAACTAATTAATGGATATCCAACTTATCTCCTATGTAGATAAACATAAAATACATCTAAATTACATGGCAGAACTTATCTAATACTCGGCTACATTCTACATGAACTAAGTACTGAATCCTTATATTTTCTTTTGCTTTTCTATTTTGTGTTCGACCTTATTTTTCCCAAATACAATGTCAAATCTAAACTCAACCAGAATGTCTGGCATATCAAACCTGTCCCATTTTTGTATAGTTGAAGGAAATTGATAAAGGGAAAGATATGGATTACATCAATCATGCCTGTTTGATGTTCTTAATATTCATTACCTGTAATTAATTTTACAGGAAGGAGGTTCAGGTTTGGAAGCTCAGGCCAGTGGGACTCTTGATGCTTCATTCTGCTGGGAGGTAACAATATGTGAATAATCCAAGTTATCTCATCATATATTTCTATTATATAAAAATTCTGCTCTTTCTTGAGGTTTAAGTGAAAAAGTGACTTTTCCTATGGTTCTCGGCTCAAGAATGCTATTTTTAAACCACCCCACATGCCTGAATTAACTCTTGTTTGTTAGGTAACTTTTACTTGTTGACTTAAACACTTAGTATAGGGCCTCGTATATATGTAGATGGACATTTTTCCTCTCTTGATGTTGACAGGGAAGACTGGGATCAACACGAGAACCATTGTTCTGGTAGTCTTATTTGTTTAACTATTACATTCTGATACTTTTGCAGGACATCACATGGTTGAAATCTATTACAAGCTTGCCGATTTTGATCAAAGGGGTGCTCACTCATGAAGATGGTGAGGTCGAGGCATGGCTTGATAGAATTCTTCCTCTCTTTTTCTTACTTATTTGTCTGTACGTTTCCTCTTGGCTTGTCTGTTAATCGAATAGCTTGTACTATCACAGCAATAAAGTCCCTGGAAGTAGGTGTTTCTGGGATTATCGTCTCCAATCATGGAGGTCGGCAGTTGGATTATTCTCCTGCTACCATTTCAGTTCTGGAAGAGGTGCTCTACTTACTATAGTTATTGATAGCTGTTGCATAGTGCAGCTCTAGAATTTTATACGTTCCAAGTTAGTTGAGAAAATAGATCATCTGCCAATTTTGTCCACATTGAGGTCACAGGTAGTTCTTGCCGTTGGAGGAAAAGTTCCAGTTTTTGTTGATGGAGGAATACGGAGGGGAACAGACATTTTCAAGGCAATGGCTCTTGGTGCTCAAGCTGTCCTAGTAAGCTCTCAAACTCCCATCTATAACTTCAACTAGGAAATAAATCCCATGTCTCATTACCAAGCTAATAATTATGAGTTTGCGGTCACCATTACCAAGCTATAAAAGAATTGTGTGCTAATGGCATTTTTCAGGTGGGAAGGCCAGTCGTGTTCGGTCTCGCAGCAAAAGGGGAATATGGAGTGAAACGAGTGCTTGAAATGCTTAAAGATGAGCTTGAACTCACTATGACCCTCTCTGGTTGTTCTAGTGTGAAGGAAATTACTAGGAGCCATGTCAGCCTTGCCTCAATGCTTTAAACAATGTTATATAACATTGTCACAGATATTTTATAGGAACACTGTTACCAGATAAACTTTCATTTCAATATCATGAGATAAAATTTTCTCAATCCTGCGATCAATGTAATATAAAATAAATGAAATTTAATTAGGGAAGAATTAGAAACAAAATTTCGCTTTTGAGAAGAGGGGATTCAAGTGCCAATGCCAAGGCTTAAATATCATATTACCATTAACACGGAGGTTACCATCTGGATATGTAGAAGTAGAGAACCAAATATGCTCGAACATCCATACATTAAGGAGAAAATACATTAAAAAGAAAATACGCTTTAGAACTCGAATATAATCTGGTACAAAATAAAAGCAGGGTACAGCCTCACCGCTAAAATACACTAAAATGCCTCCTACTTCAAACTCAATTAAAACCCACAAATGCAGGAAATAAGGATGTTACCACACCACCACTTTATTTCTTTATATGTTTACTGATAGTACATTAGTTGCTGGGCCACCATCATATATCGCCTGCCTTCCTCCAGCCGCACCCACTCCCATAGTTCCCGGCTTGGGAGGGTGCGTTAGGGAATGAACACCCATTTGTTCATGGCAAGTTGCCGCTCGTAATCTAAGAGGTCAGTGGCTGAAAGGCCAGGTAAAGGTGCTGCAGGTGGGGGTAGCGGATTTGAGCTTGTCCCCGGTGGTGTTGGCTTGCTTCCCCAAGAACACTGCACAAACAAATTAAAAGATGTCCATTCCAAGGAATTGAAAACTACAAGATTGATTCAATGAATCATCAAAAAACTCGCACTATGGCTCATTTCAGAATACTTATGGGTCAATGATTCAATGAACATAATGCCCCGTGGAAAGAATTTCCAGAACATCTCATCCTAAGGTATTAAAAACACATTATGCTACATGACAAACCTTTATTTGCTTGCCAAATAGGAATGACTGAGTGTTCCCGATCTGAATGGCCAAAGCTGCCTCACCATGAGTACTGTATCTCACAAAGCCAAAGCCTTTATCACGCTGAACCCGAACCTCCTCAATCACCCCAGCACCAAGAGCATGAAAGTGAAGATGGAGTTCATGCTGGGTGACCTGCAGGAATGAAAAATAATTGGTTTTATTGGAGAACATAAGATTCTACTTTACAGTACAGACATTGGAGCTTTCAGAACACAAGCCCATATCTCACAAGGACTAAAAACTTCATCAGAAGATTAGAGCTCTCGGGTCAAAATACCAAAAAAATTCACCCTACATGGTTCAAACTCAAACCACAAAAAGTTGAAAAAGCTTCAATTGATAGGTAAAAGATAAATTATTCTTTTACTCTATATTGTTCAAACCCATTTCACTTGTCCTATGAAGTTAAACTCATAATGCTTAGTAACACCCATTTGAGAATAGCTTGAATGTGTAATAAATAGAAGAGCCGTTGGAAAGAGTCCCTTGCCTCTGGAGCAAGATTGCCCACGTAAACTGTAGTATATTGAGGATTATTCTCAGGAGCCTCACTATTGGTTGACTCTTTACCATCCTCTGCATACCAAGGTAATAGACATACATTCATTTCGAATTTGGCACAAAAATAAAAATCAATAAAAGGTTAAGGCTAAATAAAATGAAGTACTAATAGTTATGGGGTTTTCCTTTTACAATGTAATGATTATCATAAATGTTTGATTCTTTTGAATAAAAGATAATGATTTGCAGCAAAAAAAAAAGACACACCGGATGAGCCACGGGTTAGTTCCACCACACTTTTGGCATCAGATCTCTGCTTGTCATCATTGCCAGTAGCACCCTTTGTTGCCCAGTTACAACGAATTTGTCGACTGCCAAGCCACTTTCCTAAAAGTATAAATTAAAAGCAAGATTGAAATTGTTTGCAATGTCAATAATAAGAATTCATGCAAGTGGTGGTTCATTTAAAAAATCAGAGCTAAATACAATTCTTACAGCTCAACCACGACAATTTAATGAATAAAAATAAATACTCTACACATGGTGATTTTACAGAATTTAAGGAATGTCTTAATAAATAGAAAAGGCATTTTTTATTTTTAGTTTACCATTTCAGCAACCTATTAATATCACTCCAACATGTGAAGAATATGAAAGAAAATTTTATTACAGATATAAATCACAGCTTTATTTGATGAGCTAAAACCTACTGACTAATGAAGACATCAATCTTACCACTTAAGTCATTAATTGCACTTTGTGCTTCCTGAACAGAGAGGGGGGGGGGAATAAACATCATTAGATGAAACAACATTATAATAGAAGAAACACAAGAGCCACTGCAAACTTAACCAAGGAGCAGCACCTGCTGGTTGCGGAATGAAACAAACCCAAATCCTCTTGAACGCCCAGTTTTCTGATCCCACATAACCCTTGCATCCCTTAAATCAGTAAAGACGTACAGATTTGTTACACTTTGACATCAATAAATCAATGTTGTATCATTTCAACACGAGAACACTAATCAAGGTTTACTAACTAATATATTTGCAATTATAATAGTTTAGGATATAGTTTTAAAAAGTCACAACACTGTCAAGCATCTACTGAAATCAAGATTAAAAGGAGAACACTTACGAACAACTGGGATAGACAGAAAAACATGCAAACAGTGTTGCATCAGTAACTTCGGGACTGAGATCCCCAACAAAAATGTTGAAGTGACCTGCACAGATTATGATACTATCAAACAGTATAATTATGAAGAAACAAAAATCGCCAGCACACCATAACCATAACAAGCTTCAGCAAACCTGATGTATCTTCTCTCTGACCACTAGCATATGCCCAATTGACCTTGATAGGCTGTCCAAACCTGCAGGTTGCATGATATGAAAGAAATTCACACTAAAAATAACGAGGGAGATGAAAAAAGTTAATACTTACAAGTGCCTTCCATTTAGAGACAATATAGCAAGAGCAGCTGATCTACGATCGAAGTAGTGGACAAATCCATATGATGACTGCTCAAGTAGAATACAGAACAAAAGAAAGATCAATAATACGGCAACCAAAAGGCTAAAGGAAACAAAGAAAAAACTAAGCAATAAAAGATAATCATTAGAACATCCTCACAGTTTCAGATAAATAAAAAAGGTGCAATATTGAAAATAATACCTTGTCCTTTCTGACTAGCTTGCAACCTTCAACAGGACCAGTACTTGCAAAAACCTCTTGAAGTAGTGGTTCAGTCACCTGTGTATGTATGTTTCCCACGTACCTGTAGTTTCTCGAAAATTAAACAAATAAAGAAAAGGCTACAAGTAACTTTCTGAGTTGTTTGGAAGATGCAACAACATACAAGTATCTATCAAATTCTCAAAACCGTTTAGCTATCAATAAAAGAAGCCATTAGCTTAAAATTTTGCACTAAGGATAGTGGAAACAATTTTTATCACCAGATTCATGAAGGAAAGGTGTCTCTAATGAATATAATCACAAGCATAAAAGCAACTTGTACAGTTGTTTTAGCAAGAAGGGAAATAGCATACACAAAATATATAACAAACAAAAAGAAAAATATAAAAACAACAAAAAAGAAAATTAAGGCAAACACTCACACACTGCGGCAAGTACTTGGATCAAAACCAGGAGGCAGATTTCCACTTGGAATTAGCTCTATCTGTAAATTAAAAAAAAAGAAAAAAGAAGAGAGAGAATAAAAAACAGGAAAAGAAGCTATGATGCAGAAAAGTCCCTTCCCACTCAACCCAATTCTAAAGCATTCAAATTCAGAAATGAATATGAGTTCTATGAGGTAATCAACAGTCAACCTAAAAGACAACCATCAGAATGAGAACATTACTTCTCCAACCTCATTGATACTTTCAACTTAAAGACAAGATAGACCACACATTGAAAGAGGTCCGCCAGAAATGTAACTTTGACAAAAGGACAACACACTGAAAGTTGCCATATACTTTTTAAATTTGCTCATGATGTTGTATTGGAGGACTATAAGTTACAAACTTAAAGAACCTCAATGAACTTCAAGAACCACGTTTTGTGCTCCACAACTTGGGGAGAGAGAGAGAGAGAGAGAGAGAGAGGGAGAGGGAGATTTTAGGCGTTCTTTCCAAATATTAGAAAACAGGAGATACATATAGATAGATACATACACACATATAGAAATAGACTGAGTCAGTAATTGATTTTAGGCCTGAGCAAGAAAGATGGCAACTAAGTTTACGTTAAAAATATTCAATCGATTCTCAACATTTGCAAAACAACGTGTAGATTTCAATTAACAGTGAACAAAAAAAATCAATGAGGTGAGAAACACAACTTAACGAGAAAAAAAACACCAAAGCAAATCTTTCAGCATGAGGGCAGAAACTTCATAAGAGAAAATGAGAAATAACAACACTGGAATTTCACGCGATGATAAAGTAAAATACAAAGAAACAAAACAATTTCTCGTCAAATTTAATCAAAATAATGAGCTTCAGTTTGCATCAAGAGCATGTTAAAGACACAGACATAGTCAACCTAAATGCAAAATAATTCAACTTTCCGATAAACAAAGCAGAAAAGAAAACTGATAAAATGAAGAAAAAAAATCACATTCAAAGCTCTCAAATCAGCAAAATAAAAACAAAATCCACCAAATTCAAGCGAACTATGAAAAAAGCCATCACCACATAAAGTTATCAAGCTAATCAAGCTATACGAATCAATCACAAAGAAGTGAGCAAACACGAGCTCGAAGATCAAAATACGATATAAAAATACAAAAATTTCCTAAAAACGGAAGAAAAATATACGTCAATAACCGACAAAAATAGAAATTGACAAAAAATTCAAAAGCGTAAGAGAGAGAGAGAGAAAAATAGTGGAGAAACCTGATCAGGAACTAAGATGCCAGTGTGATAAAGAGACTGTTGTTGAAGAAGAGCTTGTTGCATCAAGGCTTGTTGTTGTTGCTTCATCATCTGGTGCTGCATTTTTTCTCGGCGATTGACTGGGAGATGATTTAATCGAGGTGTTTGGTTTGCAAG